GAAAGGAGCATTTTGTAAACTATAGAAAGCTTACCGGATTGGCGCAACGCTTTGCACTGAGTCCGCGATCCTTGGTAATTGGAGGAGGTACCTCGGCGGCCTTGAACGGTACCTTCCAGACGTCTTTGTGTGTCGTGTCGAACAGCTCTCGCAGCGTCTGGTGTTTGGCAGGGTCGAACTCCCACATATTGAATGCCCGTCTTTGACATGGAAGGATCCGGCGGAAGAGCATGACCTGGACCACATTGACAAGCTTGATTTCCTTGCTTATCATATTTTTGACACAGTTCTGGAGTCCGGTCAGCTCCGCCGGTGCACCCCAGGCTAGGCCCTTCATTTTCCAGAAGGTGAGCCGCATGGGGATGCCAGATCGAAATTCAGGGGCCGCCGCCCCGTTGGAGTCGCGCGGCTCGGAGATATAGAATCACCCCGATTGCCACCCCTTCACGGTCTCCACATCGGAGCCTTCAAGCCAAGTGACATTGGGCATCTTGCCCACCATGGCGCCTCCGCACTCCGCTTGCTGGCCGACCACCACCTTCGGCTTCACGTTGAAGGTCTTTAGCCACAGGCCGAAGTGGGGCTTGATGCGGAGGAAGGCCTCGCACACGACGATAAACGCCGAGATGTTGAGGATGAAATTAGGGGCCAGATCATGGAAATCCAGCCCGTAGTAGAACATGAGCCCACGGACAAATGGGTCGAGGGGGAATCACAGTCCACGGATGAAGTGAGCAAGGAACACAACCCTCTCATGGGGTTCCGGGGCAGGAACGATCTGCCCTGCATCCGGGAGCCGGTGCGCGATGTTTGCGGCCAGGTATCTGGCCTCCCGGAGCTTCGTAATGTCCTCCTCCGTAACGGAGGAGACCATCCACTTGCCTCCCGCTCTGGACATGTTTGGGATGGCTTTACAGAGAAGGTGAGAACTTAGGGGCTGGAGCTCGAGCGTGCGAGAATGGATGGGCAGGGGAAGAAGAAGGCATGGGTGAAAAAGAGTAATCCCAATTCCTTTATAGAGGCGGTAGAAACTGTGCGCCTCCCCACTTGCCCCGTAAAATCGCTTATTCCCCAAGCGCCGCAATTGATGGCGCGGTTGGGTTACCCACACCCATATTGATGAGAATCCCGTGATAAGTGGACACGATCTCTGCTTCAACAAGACGTGCCAATTGAACCGCCTCGCGATATGTGCGGTGGCAGGTTGAGAAAAACGGTTCGCATAATGACCGGGTCGTGGCGTGATGTCACAATATGAAAAGTTATCAGCATATTAGATTTGTGGAATATTGTGCTCTCTACGGTGGTATGTGGAAATTATTTTGCAGAGCCGGACATGATCCTTGTGTTCAAAATCTTCTATGGAGTATTCAGAGAAGGAACCCGCCTTGCAATGCCGAAGACAACCTGCGCGCCAGACTCATCATCATTGAAGCCTGGTTCAGGGGCTACTGAGGGAGTCCTGGATTAGGGGGGTCCTCAGACAGCCGGACTATATACTTTGGCCGGACTGTTGGACTATGAAGATACAAGATTGAAGACTTCGTCCCGTGTCCGAGTGGGACTCTCCTTTACGTGGAAGGCAAGCTTGGCAATTTGGATATGTAGATCTCCTTCTCTGTAACCGACTCTGTGTAACCCTAGCCCCCTCCGGTGTCTATATAAACGGGAGGGTTTAGTCCGTAGGACAACAACAATCAGAATCATAGGCTAACTTCTAGGGTTTAACCTCTACGATCTCGTGGTAGATCAACTCTTGTAATACTCATATCATCAAGATCAATCAAGCAGGAAGTAGGGTATTACCTCCATCGAGAGGGCCCGAACCTGGGTAAACATTGTGTCCCCGCCTCCTGTTACCATTAGCCTTAGACGCACAGTTCGGAACCCCCTACCCGAGATCCGCCGGTTTTGACACCGACAGGTGTCCCGGCCAATCCCAGCGCACGCCTCGCATCTCCTTGGCTCGATCCCTCTCCCCTTTATCTGCAACGCCTTTGGGTCGGTCCCTCTCCCATGTATCCCGCGTCGCTCTATCTCCTTTTATGAGAAAAAAATAACGAGCGCACGAACGCAACACACTCTACTTATGGGCCGAACATGCCCAGTTTACCAGATTTCATCGTTTCGGCCTCGAGAGCAGCACCCCATTAGGGAAGCTGGGCCACATGCGGGACAGATGGCTGTAGACATGGGATCCGACGGCCAGAGATGCCCAGATCATCAAATCGAACTGTCAAAAATGCAAATCGCTGAGAGGGCTCGCTTTAGGCTCGGTTATACTGACATAAATTGCTCCAAAAATTATGACGATTCAGCCCCAAAATCGCTGAGAGGGCTCACTTTAGGCTCAGTTATACTGACATAAATTGCTCCAAAAATTATCTGACGATTTAGCCACATTAGTCTGTTTGCTAGTCCCGAGTGCCACTATGGCCAGCCTAGGACTCGCAGCCCAGGTCGGCCGGCAAGGTTTCTTTGACAGGTTTGTTTATTTATCGAGAACGTGATTCACGCCTGTCCTGCCTGCTCCTGCCTGCTCACATGTTGGAATCTCGACACTCATGCAAAATTCAGAGTGAGTACCACGCTACATGTTCTGCCTGCTCAAATGTTCTCTTGGAATCCTGGCAGTCGCAAAATTCAGAGTGAGCATCACGCCACGTGTACGGCCTACTCACATGTCAGATTTTGGGTCAAAAATGTATCATTATATTCCAGTTAGCTTGTGTACTCTACTACTTTTACCAATTTATTGATGTTAAGTTGGGCCCTTGTTTGGACACAAAAATAACCAAATGACGATGGTGACGGTGTCCTGAATTATGCGTGCACACCGGGTCGGCCTAGCATTCATGCCCTGGCCTCGGACGTATTCAAGATGGAATGCTCCAAAGACTTGGTGCACACTTCAAGGCGTATTTGAATGTTCGGTATGTTTACCTCTATATTGTAACCGACCATGTGTAAATCCTAAATACCACCATTGCACATCAAGCCAAGGGATTTAGTATGTAGAGGCAAGCATTCAAGGCTTAGAGGCTAAAACTCACTGATGCAATCTCGAGGTAGATCATCTCTACTTTGTACCCCATGCACAATCAAAACAATACAAACATGACGTAGGGGTTTACCTCTTCGAGAGGGTCAAAACCTGGGTAAAAATGTGTCCTTTATTTCTTGTTCACCATCGTTCCTAGATCACCAGCTCGGGACCCCCTACCCGAGATCCGCAGATTTTAGCACCGACACATGGCGGGTGCGAACTAGGGCTCGTACAATGGACTTGGGGCCTGGGGGATGATCGAATTACTTTAAAGGGTTGAGGCAACTGGAGCAACAAATGTGGAATGCAGTTAGCCGGTGTAAGCCTCATGAGGGGCGCACCAACATGAATGCTGGTAGGCGGACAACCAGTCAAGTTGTGTAAATGCATGGAGATTCTAGAGCCGATCGATCAAGCGGAGCAAAGATGGTTTTTGGGTGGATCTAGGGTGTCGGAGACTGATTTGGTCA